TATGCAAAATCTTACTCTGGAATTGCAAGGGAAATACCGTCAATTTTATTTTTCAAGTAGGTAATATTTTGACCAAACTACCATCCCCTTAATCTATTTGATTTGGTTTTAAGCATGGGTCTAATTTTTAAAATATCTACATATAAAAGTTTAACTGGCTTTTGGGAAGTTGTGGCTGCTTAACAAACCTCATGTTTGGTCTCTAATTATAGAGAATTATAATTATATCTGCTGTGTGTAAGGTTAATGACCACTAACAGGAGGTTTTTAAAAATCATTTAAAAATGTAATTTCTGTGAAATTGCTGAAAAGTCACAGTTATCAGTAAGGCTGAAAGGTTGAAGGAAAGCTAAACTTAATTAAAATGATGAACTATAAAATCAACCGGAACTAAGTATTATTGCTAAACTGACTTTGTATTAGGGATCAATTAAAGCATGTATCTATTGTCAAAAGATTTGTCTGTATCTTTACTTATTTAGAGAAAGGTCATAGAAATTTCCTGATAAACTATATTATTGCCACTGGCATAAAAAAATTCATATAAAAATCATAAATTGCATGCTGACTTGTCAGGCAGTTTGAAAGGACATTGCATTCTTCTTTGTTATAACTACATATGCATAGAAATTAAATATTAATATTTCTAGTAAAGTGCTTGTGACCCAAGATTCCAAGGTAGATTAAATGTTGGTTAAAGACCCACAGTTATATAAACCTTATCAGATAGGATTTTGTGTAGACTGCTATTAAAGAACTCATACTAGAGCCAGGTGTGGTGGCTGTAATCTCAGCCCTCTGAAAGGCTGAGGCCACTGGTGGAAGGCTGCTGGTAGACTGCTTGAGCTCAGAAGTTCCAGACCAGACCGAGCAAGAGCCAGACCCTTTCTCTACTAAAAATAGAAAAACTAGCCCGGCATCCTGGTGGCTGCCTGTACTTCCAGCTACTTTCGAGGCTGAGGCAAGAGGATCACTTGAGCCCAAGAGACTGAGGTTATGGTGAATTAAGATAATGCCGGGGCACTCTACTCAGGGCACAGAGTAAGATTCTGTCTGGAAAAAAAAAAAAAAAAGAAGAAGAAGAAAGAAAAAGTACTCACACTGCATTCTGGCTACTCTGTCCTCACCTCTTAATTAGAAGCAATTTGAGGGCAGGGACTAGTGTTGAGTTCCATCTCCAAATCAGCAGAGTCCAGCAAAGGACTTAGCAAGTAATAGGCATTTGAAGATATTTGTGGAACAAATGTGTAAATAGACAAATGAACGCTATCATGTAGATGTAGAAGTTAACAACAGCTACATGGGGAAGAATATCTCCACCGACAAGCAGGGAGTGCTGGATAAAGCCTTTGGCTGCTACCGCTCCAAAGCTGCTAATCACAAATGCTCATTTGGCTCGTCTGACTTTTTGACTTTTTGCCAAATAAATGGATTCTTGGAATCTGATCACAAGTAAATAAATTAGTATCAAAACATGGGCCAATAGGGCCCCCACTCTGGGATTTTCTCAAATGTGCATTTCAATATGAAGACCATAAGCTAATCTTTTCTACAAGCAAGGACAGCTGACGGGGCACCAAGTTAAGTCCCACAACACCCCAGCCTCCCTTAAACACTGTTTGAAGTTTAAAACATCATTTCTACATTCTTACCAAAAAAAAAAAAAAAAAAAACCCAAACCCTTAAGGATGAAGTTCTCATGAGCCAAGATTCCAAACTTAACAAAATATATCTTTCCCCTGAA